TTATCAGATTTCCGTAGCCGAGTTATCATTATCAATCAATGGGCTTCGCCATTCTCGGTACCAAATAATATACTGTTTCGGCACCCGGAGTACTCCGGAGTAGGTGATTAACGGGTTATCTGTGGGAAAAACATCCCACCATACAATCCCGGTTAAAATCTATCGGGGTCCCGGGGCGCCGATAGTTCTTCCTCGGTAGGCCTGGTTGTCCGAGCGGTGTGAGAGTATGTGCGCATTTGGATCAATCAATTCGTGCAGACTGGATAGTGCGTGATGGGTCTATTATATTCTTTGGGTTACAAGTCAGATCTAATAATTGGCGCTTTTTTTCCTTTTTCTGTCTATTGCCTGCTGGGACACTGAATCGAAACTAACGAACTTGGCGGCGCACGTGATGGCCGATGGAGTCTTCCGAGGGAAAAAAGAAAAAACTTGACAGATAATACACCTACGCAATTGCCCTCTCCCCTAACCGCCCAACCGTCCATCGATCCCTTAACCAATATGGTAGTGACACCGGCTGCTTTCGTAGCCCCGTGGGATGCACGGAATATCTACTGGTACCTCGTGGGTACTAGCTACCCTGATGCACGTGCAATAGGGGTCCTACGGTTCAACGCCTACGCGATTGGGTATAATGACGCGATAAGGGTGACCAGGTCCGAGTTCACCCCGAGTCAGTGTTTGCCCGCGCAAGATGAGTGGCTGAATGGGTACCTGAAGGTTGACTTGACATTTCAAAGAAACTTCCAGCCGGGCGTTTCGGAAATTCAAAATCTAGCCGAGATTCAACCCTGTCCCGTAGAAAAAGAAATCTCGTAGGGAAAAAAATTTTTCTCAGAAAGTTTTGTCTCATGTCCATCACCCCGTGTCAGTTCAGATCCAAACACCCAAAAAGTAGACCAACCTTATCGTCTACTCGACTCTTTCGAGTCGTTTCAACGAGATGTCAAGCTGCATCTTTGGCCAACGAGATCTCAAAACCACTATAATCACAAACTTCGTCCATGCAGCATCAACCTGTTCTGGGGTGGTGGCAAGTTAACTTAATATTCTCTGTGGGCGAATGAAAACACTGCATGCCATGATCCAGGATAGCTCATTCTTTTCCCACTGCGTGCTTTTTTACAGTCCCACGGATGGTTCTAGTCCAGCCATTCAGTGCCCGGCATCACTTCGGCATTTCGAGCGTCAGGCTAAACTCTGGAACCTTGTTCCTAGGAACTGAATCGGACAGCGTCCTGAGGTCCCTTTTCGATACGCAGGCTATGTGCGGAAGGAATGGCCTCCCGGGAGGCTTGAGCAGTTCAAGGTTCTAGCGTCTAGGCCTGCATAAGATGGATTGTGGTGTGGCGTTGGTCGAGAAATCTCTTCTTCTCTTTCAAAATGGAGTGGCGTCAGCGTCTTTGCGGGCTCGCACTTGGTGGAGAGCTCTGTCTGCTCATCTTTTTGGACGTTGTTGCTCAATTGCACTGTGCTCTGGACCTGCTCCAATTCTCACCAGTGGCAAAACTACATATTACAACTGAAACAATGACATAGCTGCGCAATCAATTTGTACAGCTAAGCCTGTCCAGGTTCCTTTTCTAGAGTATGCACGAATCTAGACGCAGCCGGCCCAGATCGCTCCCGACGAATTGAAAAGCTGTCAATGGCGTCTGCCTGATCCCACATGCACCTCAACAATCATATACATTATCTCACAGCTCTGACAGGCTCTCTAATACACAACATACATGATGACGAGGTGTATGCTACCAGGGCGCAGGCGCAGATGCACTGATCAACAGCTCTGCGTATCACATAAACATACGGTATCCGTGCGGAGTATCTGCACAGTACTATTTACGTCTGTAGGTCAGTTCATTTCCCCAAAACGGAAACTCGTGCATTTCACTTCGCAGATAAGCGAGCAAACACAGTTGCCCTGCTTTCAGCTGCAGCTCCTTCTGAATGATATTCCACCCACACGACGATGCGCTTTTGCTCCAGATTGGCAGGGTACTATTCACTCCACACACCACCTGCCAAGCATTCCCTGTCTACACCCACCGGCCGTTGGTCTAGATGCTTGATGGACGGACGGGGCGGGGAACGGATGGTGCGAGCTCTAGGCGGAAACTCGCCACCGTGAAGCTGGGGTTGGTCTTGAGGATGACCATTGACGTAGAGTGTGGTCTTCTTTACTGTATATTGAGGGAATTTGGGGGACTGGAGAGTGGTGTGGGAATCAAGTGGAAATCAATTCCCACTTTGCAGGTAGGTAGTGGGGAATTGATCCTCGACTTTTGAGTGGTGGCGAAAATAACACTTTGTACGAGGCTCTGGCCGAGTTATACGAGGTTTAACTGCGGGTTGTTATCGTGTGTTAACAATATATTTGTGCAAAGTACTTTGTATAGTATGGAGTAATACTACAATGTCCATGTTGGCATATTGCATAATTGCGTGCTTGTGGCATTGAATTTTCGGATAATTTGACAGTTCGGCCACCAGATATATATTTACATTATTGACACTATTAACTATTGGCGGGAGAAATCTTCATGCAGATGAATTTCTACCATTTATGCATGGTAATCGTGAAAATATTGTAAAACGAGCCTTCTCCTGTAGGGAAAGAATGATATCTTTCCGTAGAAGAACGCGTTTTGATACGTGGTCCTGGTTGTCCTAGCTATACTTTTACATTATCGCTAACTAATTATTTAATATATGTTTACCCGGCACTAAAAAACACCATTGAACGTAAAATTTAAACCCGAGACAACCTGACTCGTAGATACTTTCCCAAAAAATAACTCGTTCCACGACGGAACGCAGTCGAAAGCATGCATCAGCCTTCATAATTCAGAGAAAACATCGACGACCGCCGACGGCCATCGCGACAAATCTGTCGGGCGATCAAAACCACACCCATCTCTCTGAATCCCACGCTTCGTACGGAGTATGCCGCTCGATGGAAGTTAATATACCCGAGAAAGCGATTGCGTACGCGTTTATCGGAGACACGGTGATGCCTGTAATCTTTCCGACAGCCTGTACACCAGCAGGGGCCAGAACGGGCCGTTACCTGCCAAATGTGGGTTAAACGAGGTTTGATGTGTCTGCCATGGTGCGTGGGAGCTTGAATAGTGGTGATAGGCCAAGTCCGGCATACTGTTGTCCTCACCACAAAGGAGAATAGCCGACGAATGTACGGCGTACGCTTGGCTATGAGCTACGCCCAAGCTCCGAATCTTCTGCGATATCTGTTCAAGAGCATCATGAGGCTTTGTGCAAAGTGTTTTGCCTTGGCATGTCTCGCATAGTCGGTTGATGGTTTCGCACATTTTTCGCGGAGCGTGAACATTCCGAGTCTTCCACAAGCGGATATGCGCGGATACTGTTGTTGCATTCACTCACATAGCTCTAGCAAACCAGGCTCTGCAAGTCCCTGGGTCACATAGATGACTTGACACGCGAGAACAGATACGTCTTGTATGCAGAAGTCGAAATGCAGGTAGATGTCAACGTGCCACATGGTTCAACATTCTCACTGTCTACAGAGTACTGTTTCGCTTACAAGCACAATTCAGGTATCTTGTTGCAGCATGCCAATTTACTCCGAGTCAATCCTGATGGTTTCGCACAGGCAATGTACGATTTGCCGGTCGAACGAGCACTCACCCTCCGGACTGAAGCAGACCAGCACTCATTCATTGAATGACTACACCATGCGGGAATGGGCCACGAGGCCACAGAGGGTAACGCAGTACGGCTTTAAGATGCTGTTTTCCAGCATTTTGCTCGTTGAACGAGAGCTCGCATGCCCTGCCACCATCGTGGTAACCGTTTCAAATCGAGCGAGCACGCTACGCCCAGTATGCGGGAAGAAGGCATCTGGTAAGAATATCAAAAGTGCTTTGTGAGACATGGATGTGGGTGATGCAGACAATTTCCGGGGTATTGTTATTGTTCATGACGTTCGTGGTGCTGAGCAGCCCAGTCGACACCCACACTGAAGTTATACTCGCGTCTCACAGCAATGTACTCGCATGGAGAGATGCCGATTGTTCGACATCGAGTCGACGCCAAACTCGGGAATAATGAATGTGAGCATGGCATGTACCCCGGATGCCAGGAAAAACTGAATAGCTTGCTACACTCTCCAATCACGTCGTGGCTGTAGTTGAGAAGTTGAAGATACTCAAGCCGGCTACTAGCAGGTCTCCACTTTTGTATAGCGTATAGCAGGATGATAACTTCTGCATTGCTCTCTGGATATATAAACTAGTCGTCCATCTAGGAGTCATGTGACAGTTAAGCGTTGTTCTTAAAAGAGAACTCGCAGATTCCATCTTCTACTATATATATCAATTCATACATAATACCATTCTATACTATCGCACCTCTTTCCTAGAAGCTCACCCTCTCCATATATGACTTCCTGATTCCGCACTACGGTCGAAGACTAGGATTATCCTCGACGCAGTGAACAATCAGGCTAAAGCAATATGTGTGTTATCTTTTTATTACAATAGACAGCATTTACTGTAGCTAGCGACGGATATGTGAGTCGAAAAATATCCAGTTACTATAGAGGTTCGACTGAGTCGGCTGATATATATATTGAAAGCGCTGAGTGTAAGGTTTGGACGCCGATTCGCGCATTATTACCCCCCAATCGCAATTTCTATTGACGAATTACTAAGACAAATTTAGCATGACAGCATACCTTGATAACACAATTTATGTGGTCCCTCTCATGAAAACAACATCTCCCGAATATCAGTAGCATCTGACACAGCTGTTCGCAGACTCAAGAGAAGTGAGTGTGAGTGATTAGGCGTTTGACCACTCCCAAATCCCAAAAAGCATTACTGACTTATTGATATTTGATAAGTAAAGGAAACTGGTATATCACAGAAGACGGCGAGCTGAAACCAGTTTCGGAAGAGATCCTAAACTACCCCCCGGAGTCTGTCGAGATTATTTCTTCTCTTCTCCAGCAGATTAAAAATGAAGCGACAGAAACCCTTGGATGTCCCATAGATATCACAGCTGCTAGTATCCCGTACGGGTTGGATTCTATTGCAGACTGCCATGTCTTCGATGTTATATTATACGCAAATGCGACCTCCATCGAATATGATTGATATATCCGTCATTTCATCAACATTGGTCGGGTGGCATATGGTTTCAATATCTGCGTCGGACTGGGTGTCAGTGCCTCGGAGCACTGATATTGAGGAAAATCTGTATAAAATCCTCTATGTCGATTATCATGGAGACTCGTTGAACCTCTCTGGCTGTTACAACAGAGTACGGTACTTGCATTGACGATCGACATCAGACATACAAACTCAATGAAGAAACGGCAGGTGTACAGGTAGGCACGATAGGTTTGGCGCATGTTAAACAAAAATGAAATGCTGATAAGAGAGAAATAGAGCAATCAGACTCGAAGCGAGGAACCCGTATAACTAATTGAAAGCTTCATCTCGAAACATATCCTAGAAATAACACTAGGACCTATGCGCAATTATCCAGAGTGGAGAACTCTCACAGCCTGCCATGGGTAGATTTCGCGATGCTTTGGGCCTAGCAACTCCCAAAGACTGGAAAGCTCACATGCGCGACCAGATTGATCCTACTTTTGTCGGTGCTGCAGGCGCAGCCTATCGAGCCGAGATGCAATTGGAAGATCCAAGCTTCTACAATGGCATTCATGTTTGCAGCCGGCTTAAAGAACAAGATAAAGAACATAATGATCTCTAATGGACGGTGAGTGGAGAGGTGCATTGGCAACGGGGCATTGATTGATTCCGGACTCAACAGGGACGAGCTTCTGTGATAGCAGCCAGACTACAAAGCATGAGCTGGTCGCTTAATGAAGTCATATTGTGACACAAAATCCCCCTCGCCAAGAGATCTGATAATTAATGTCAGCTCAATCACTATCGAGAAAACAACTGTGAACACTGTATTTTAATTCCATGCGCTAATGTCTCCCGGAAACACCTCATATATTTGATATTCACATCATACGCTGCTGTTTCCGGTATCCTTTCCGCAACTTGGAACTGAATTCAAAGACAGTTGAAAAAAAAAAAAAAAAAAAGCGTTATAGCGTCGATGATAGGACTCTACAGACACAAACAACACAAGAGAGTGGACACGGTGCAACGCTCAAGAAAAGGCTGCCTTTTATCTGAGACCGTAGAGCGCCTCGACCTTGTTTAGCCAATCGGATCAACCGTAACTTTCAATCAGATATCCGGCCCTTTTGTCCTTATGTGCTTAGTTTGAATAACCACCATATCAGATTTTGGTTGCGCCGGTTCCTTACAGGAACTGCCGCTCTTGCAGTGACAACGAATCGTGCATGTCCGGCTATCCTTGGGCTCTGCCAATCCTGGCGCCGGAAATCCTTCCACTGCGCAGCAAGCTTAGCCACAGTAAGATTACGCTGCCATCCTTCCTTTCCTGAGGCAGCTGCCCAGCCGCGCCTCAATCAGACAGTCACACTTGAAGCGACGTAACCAGGATACCGGCAGTCAATTTGTACGGAGTACTATACGGCATGATCACCCAGTGTAAACCAGAAAACAAAACAAAACTTACTCCTCTAAGCGAAAACTCAGCTCTGAACACCTGTCCTTGTTGATTGTCCGTGGTGTCGAGGAGCGGTGCGAAAAGATATTGCCACTTTCGCCGTACTATGTGGGCAGCACTTCGAGGTCAATTCGAGCACAGTACTACCGGCTTCCCTGTCTCACTTTGCATACTGTAATCACAAAGATGGCCAATTCAAAGCAAACAACGTGCTAGCGCCGATGCTGGGAGGATAAAGTAATTTAACTAGCGTTGCATAGTCGACTAATTACTGGCTATCGAACCATCATTGGCGGGATATTATTTCCGCAGCACCGTCAAAGCTTACGATTATACGTCAACAACTATAGCAAATGTTGCACACGACTGACTGAAGCCTGTCGATTCTGCATAATGAAATTCACAAGTCAGTAAGGACTCGCTGTGCCTCTGAAGTTCCCAGATGGTGTTGAATTCTGCGCATAAATAGAGAGCAACTTTCTCTGTGCTGACTCTTCTCATCAGTCAGTTCCAATTTGTATATTCCAAAGGCACACCTTCAACATCTCTTCCTATATATCCTACCGTTCTTTATAACTTATAGAAACTATGTCTCAACATACCGAGGAAGTCGTCTGCCCTATCCTTTCCTGCGACCAATTATACACCGGATCTCGAGCCAAAGACAGCCTCCGCGACCACATGTTCATATCTAGTTCTAAATGCAAAGAGCACTTTAGAGAGTATAAAGATCGGTACCCGTTTGCACGCAGGAAACCAGGTACAGTCTACCCTTGCGAAGTTTGCAAAAATGTATTTGGCAAGACCTCTTGCCTGAAAAGACATATGGAGACCCGTTAGTATTCTAATTCAAGCACTACTATTGTCGCACATAAGTTAACCCAAGGTAAAAATTAGACAAGGAGACGAGGTACCCGTGTCCTAGTTGCGATAAAAGCTATGCTGAGAAGCGGAATATGGTTGAGCATCTGGTGAAGGGGCGATGTCGTGGTGATCCTCGTTGGAGAAGTAGAGATTCAACACTAAGCTCTAGCGCGGAGGTATCAAGGGCCGCTTCGGGTAAGAGCACTTACTAGAATGTGGAAGGTGTGGCTAAATGAATGTAGAAGAACCGACTACCAACCGTACCACATGGGACGTTTCAGCCGTTATTGAGAACACATATAACGGCGTAATTGCTTCAAATGTTGATTTCATCACGACGAATCGTGATGATTATCTTGCTACAGAATATATACAAATGTCTTCTTTATCGACCTCGATGCAGCAATATGACGACCATCCGGCGTCCAGATCAACCTTCATGCTACGTCCAAATGCTGTGTACCTGGTCCATTAATCTACCCAAACAAACCGAATTACACCATGACAGTTTAATTGGGTGCCTCAGTCTCCGTTATATTCCCGAGACGAGCAGAGCCGTCAATCCTGGCCCAATCTCAATCTCAGTGGGAATGTACCAAGCCCATCCGACCTTGAATTCGGGTCCAAACGTGAGTGGACCGGGCGTCGAGATGCGAATGGGGACGAGATATGTCATTGTGTCGGCTGAGTTACGGAGCTGTGCTCGTCCAGGACCGGTGCGAAATATGCCACAACCCCAGCGCTGGTTTTTTAACTTCATCGATACCTTTGTGTTAGAAATAGATTAGCAATGTATGGCTGAACTAGTTCCATACCTTCTCGGGAAGGCCAAGTGCGTCAAGTAGAGGTTGTACGACTTCAGCAAAGTCTTTATCTACACATCTCTGTAGGTTCTCCAGGTCCGTCGTAAACTGTGCGGAGTAGGTGACCCAGTCGCTTAATTTGGCAAGCACTTTGTCGACCGTAGGATTGGATATATGCTCTACCTTCAGATCTGGAAGGTACGGTTGCACAAGAGCCATAGTTTGAGAAATGCGTATAAAAAGGTACCAAAGAAACAACGAAAATTCTATTGGACAGCGTTCTCGCCAGGGATAGATAGGCTTTTCCCTGACGGTGTCGGTTTCCTTAATGACCGGGGTGTACATATTGAGTCTGGTTCAGCCTCGCTCGGAGGGGCAAGCAAACAACTATCATGTGACCATTGGGCACTGATGGTACTTGTGCTGGATAGCCAAAATCTGCAGAGGACTTTTGTCTCCCGGAAATATTTTATTTGGCAAACAGCGTATTGAAATTACATAACAAGGGAGCCAATCAACATACGGCTGCTTGGAACATATCAACTATCACAGTCGCACTGCTTGTAACATTAGCCCCAGCACTTAGCGCCATAATAAAAAAAACATCCACCATTAGAGCTAGGGTAGCCAGCATATTGACGTGGAGGTATCTTGACCTTTCATTCTTCGTCAGACGGCCATGGCGTGCTCGGATATCCTATCTCTGTGTAACCTGCTGCCATTTCGGGTAAAATGTATTGTTAGTATTGCGATCAATTTCGACTGATCTAATAAATATGCCTGATATGATGCATCAGTACCTGAGGATGTATTCCTCTGCTGCATCACGTCGGTTCTCGATAGCTGAGCCGCATGTATAACCTACATTTCGAGTCTGCTTTGGACTCAACTATTTACTACGTATAGACCAGGTGAATCCTAAGGCTGTGAGCCACTTGAGGTGAATTGTTGGGAGTAGAGGATGAGTTCAAATACTTGGGTTTATAGTGTCTGGGTCTATCAACTACATTATCCTGATCCGATCTTTTTTCTCATTGCTTCTAGCTTACAGTGGTACCGCTATCGTCTTCCACAGAGCTGCGGGATATATCTTTGTTGGATATACCTTTAACAAATCCCATAATATTATTCTGCTCTCGCACGTCTACACATCTCCCAATGTCGCAACACTCCCACAGTCTTCAAAACAAGCTGCAGTTGTGACGACCTCGTACAATATAAATTTATTGGTAGACTTTTTATCGAAATACTAACATGGAGAAGGAAAGAAAGAAGCTGGGCCTGCCAGCGCTGCGCTATCTACTGTGCGAAGGGGGTTCCCGCCCTATATTCAAACAGGCCAAAGTATACAAACATCTTGCGTTGCTGGTGAATGCCCGTAGTCCGTGACAGCAGTCAGCACAACCATTTCCCTCCTTAAAGTAGAATTGGAGGAGCAAGGGTTGAGAAACTTCGAAGTTATGGTTCCAGTGACTATTATCCAACTCGCATCGGCGATAGGCGCTTTGACAGGCGCTATGAGGCGGTCTATAAGTTGGGTCACGGAAGTTACTCAACAGTTTGGCTTGCTAGGGACACAGAATTTGTTGCCACGAAGATCCTGACCGCTAATATTTCTGAATATTGCTCTGAAGGGAATATTATACTCGTGTTGGATCAAGGTAGTCTAAAGCTCCTAGCACGTGCAAGTATGCCGGGCTAATCATTTCAGATTTTGGCGGAGCATTCTTCAAAAATGAACCACCCAAAGAAGTACACACCTCAACCCTACTTCTTCCATCAGTATACATATTTTATAAACCGATTAACCAGGCCGTCGACGTATGGACTCTCGGGCACCTATTATATGAAACCTTTGGTCAAAGCAGGTTTTTTGGAGGCTTCTACCCGGATCAAAATGATACAGTTAATGAAATGATCAGCACATTGGGACCTCTTCCTGACCACTGGTAGGACCGATTGAAAAGCAAGACACAGCACTTCCATAAGGACGGATCGTGGAGGGTAGACACATATTGTATACCAGGAGTCTGTACCACCAGTTAAGTAGATGGGGCGAGGGGAGGATCCAACGACGTACGAATTCAGTCTCAGGGAAATGGCTTCCATTGAGGAATTGTTAATAGCTATGTTGTCGTACGAACCCTCAGAGCGTATTACCATGATGGGGCCCATTGGAACAGCATCGATGGAAAACTGGGATTTGAGCTTAGAGATGCAGTTTGCTCCGAATATGTTAGTATCTGTTGCTTCCCAGCGGCTCCGGAAAGATTCTTGGTTGATAGTGCAAGAAATTTACCAGGAACGGCACATAACTGCAAGTTCAACTGCGGTAGCCATGCGAATTTCAAAGAAGACCGGCATATAATTGAGCACGTTTGCATTGTTTGATCACTTATCCGTATCCGGTGATCGAAGCGAGATATGCTGACATAAGCTGCGTGTCTAAGTTAACTAACTACCCAACAAGGAAAAAGATCAATCTCCTTCGAGACAACAATTACTTCGCCAACAGGCGCCGTCGTCACCATGGTCACGCCTACGCATCTCCTAACAACGTCGTTTCTGTACGCTACTGGGAATACTCCTGCCGTCAACTTGACTGGTCCAGTACCTCCTGATCAAAATGTGGATGCGTTGCTACTGGGGTGTGGGGACGTGCGAAATGTCCTCTTCTCTGTCTATATGAGCATGAGAAAGGGTCCGTTATCTAGATCTGATCTGGCTAGAGAGTTTTTAACGCGGAGCAACAGATCGCAAATTTGACTTCACATGCTGCGATATTCAAGCTGAGATCTTAGGTGGGAATTTCCTTGTGCCTGCTTTGTGGACGTGGACTGACAAGTTGTCCATAGCTCGAAACATCATCTTGTACACACTAATTCTCGATGATTTCGAAGGCGAAAATGCCGAGCGGATATGGAATATCTACTACCATGTTCTTGTCGATGATGATTCCTTGAGCCTTCTTCGAGAGCAGGCTTCAAAGCTATTGAAGGTAGCAGCTACAGCTGACAGATGGAACAACGGAAAATATGGAGCTACCCTTCGCTTCTGCGATAGCTACACCTTCTCTCGTGTCTCGAAACTCTGGAAATCCTACGCCTTGCAGCCGTCGCATGGAGATTCCTTTAAAGTGCAACAAGAGAGGCTCCACCTTCGTATTACAAAAGCAAAAGAGGTCCAGAAGGACATAGTGGGGAACAATACTGTTACTACAGGTCTTCGATCAGCAGCTCCTCGCACTGATGCCGCTTTCCAAGACATCAACGCTTCGTACGAAGCTTTTTGGGAGAGTGGTTTATCCAAGCTCAACCAAGCGAGACCCAAAAATCTCAACCCCATGTTCGACATAACCAACCCTCAATGTATCTTGCACTATGGGACGGATCCCGTTATTGGCTACCATCTTTCTACGACATATGTTGGGCTTTCAGGGGAGTCGCCGCTGAAGGCGAATAAGGCCAACTCGAAACAAGTTGGTGCATGTTTTAGCGTCGCTCTGGACCAATTTCGTGCATTTAGCAAGGCGTTCCGTGAATCCGCATCATTACTGACATTACGCTTCGTTACTACGGACGCTATGGCTCTCTGTCACACTCTCCAGCACGTACAAATTTACAAAAGCAACAGTGCTGGATGCTATCGTAGTTTCCAAACGTGGGAGCCCTTGATACTGGACACTGTCGACCACTCCCTGCAGAGGGCAGGCGCTGCCGCTCCATTGTCATTCGACATTATTGACACATCCAACCTGGCAGACCATTTCGGATATCTGAATCTGCTTACCGCTGCCGGTCCTCTCTTGAAACCAAAGCCGACATCCACACTATCAACTGAAGTTTTGGTGCAACGCGAGACGGACATGGAGCAACATAAAAAGAATCTCTTGTATGGAGATATCCCAACAGTCGCGCTTTTGCTTGGCCTTGATCCGGTGGAGATCTGGACGGGCACAACTGCTACTTCTAGGTTCGACGAAAGGTTTACGCTGGATATGGCCGATGGATCCGAACCCGACACCCCCACAACACAGTCACGATTTGTCCTTCACTGGAAAAGCGCAGCAATCCAGGACAATCCAACTGGGCAGCCGTCTCTCACATTTGAATCTAAGGAGCTTGCTGGGCTTTTGCTTCAAGTTTACAAAGGAATGTTTTGTGATGAGGACCCGACAAGCTGGCTGAGTGGTATCGTGGACAAGCTACAGCGAAAGACATACGGGTACCACACGAGATCAAGCTTTGTCGCGATTCTTAGTCTCGTGCGCCGACGGAGTATGGTTGATTGGGATGTTTTTATGCGCAAACTCTACTATTTGATAATGAATGATACCTCCATGAAAGCTGGTGCGAGCTATGCAGCAGAGATGATAGCTCACTTGGATGTTTTGAGGTTGCGTCCTATGATTGATACTGAACTTCCTTCGCGAGCAGCAGTCAGTCATCCTCAATGTCCGTTACGCCACTGGGAAGATCTACCTTCGTCGTTGTGTGTTACGATGGTTGTTCCACGTGAGAACCTGCGGTTGTTCAAGAAGGCTTCAATCAAGAGCGGAAGTCCTATTGTACAAATGGTCCTTCGGGCCATGGACATTCAGGCTCAGAGCTTCTATTTGAGTATACAAGCCGGCTTTGGACACTTGAAAGCGTTAGGGGCCAAATACTCCGAGGATCTCGCTTTAGAGATTGAGGAAGATGAGAGCAACTGGGATGGTACTGCACCCATGATTGTGTCTGCCGTTGTCCCAGCATCCGTGGTTCTTCAAAAGATTGACCTGTCAACTGAGGTTATGTTCACTCTTAACCAAAGCCCTCATTCATTTGCCATGTTTAGTGACAAGCTTGGTCTAGAACTCGCCATAAGCAAGTCAACCCTTGCCAGTAAAGATGTTTACATCACCAAGAATCGCCCCAATATGTCTACGCAAATGTCTTTTTCAGGCACCTGCGCCAGTCCGTCCATACAGAATGCTAAGCCATTCTCAACACCGCCTGACTCTGGCAAGGAAATCACTTCAATCCGGTTCCAGGCACAACTCACACCTGATCAATCAAAGCTGGCAAATATTTTGGCGCATGTCGATGTCTTCCCAGGGCAGTTGCAGGATGTGTTACGGTCTGGAGCCGGCGTTCAAACCTCGCAGGTCTCCTCATATGAGATTTCAGTTTCCTTCGATACAGGTGTGCTAGTCAAGAAAGTCCGATTCCCAATGCCAATTACCATTGTTGGTGGCAAGACTCGGGTTGCGCGAAAATCGTCCTATATTGAGTTTATCGCACCTGTGCCAGCTCAGAAGGAGCTTGCTGCCCGTCTGGACAGTTTGTACCCTATGATCCGGGAGAAAGGATCGATTGGACTTCGCACACCACACTATGTCTCACTTGACGTATTACCAATTTTTAGTCGAACGAATCCCGCCGGAATGTCATGGCTTATTCCGCGTGTATCGGACATGTTTTCTTTCGGAGAACGCAAAACACGAGAGATTCAGATGGCATCTGGGGCGAATGCCGGTGATGTCCGTGTGAATTTCAAGGATTCTCTCTTTTCATTGTTTTCGCACTCCACAGGTATCAACGGGGTACCACGTCATGATGTCCTGGCATTGAATAATCCCCAGGAGGGTGGCGTTCACGTGTTGATCTTCATCTCTTCTCTCCGTCTGGATATGTCTTGTCAACATATTGTCCTAGATACCGCAGTTCTTCCGCTTTCGATGGATATCATGCCGCAAATGGTTTCCTTAATCGACAAATTGCAACAACGGGGCGTCATGTCCATTATAGTTGACAATGATGAACTTTGCATGTGGAAGCACGCCCTACCCGCCATGGTCGAGAGATGTCGCGACTGGAACCACAAGCCGTCATGCGAATACAGGATCAGCGGTAAAATCCCAGTCTCCGTCGAGTTCGGCCAGCAACTGCTTTGTTCCTGCGGCAGAGGCAAATTTCCTTCAGGTTACAAGACAGCTTTTCCCGGAATCTGGAACAAACTTTCAAAGTATGCCGTGAGAGCCGCCATCGCGCCTTCCTTTCCCGTTCCATTCGTGGAGCGCTCGCTCGAGCTGAAGGATTTAGATAAGTTGGATGAGTGGCGGAACGCAGGGTCAGTTGATGGGGTTGCAAAGAAACTTGCGTCTCTGAAACTAAAGAAGGGCTCTTGTTTCAGGTGTGATAGGCGGAAGGTCTCGCTCCTTCGATGCAGTGGTTGTAAGGTTGCAGAGTATTGTTCGAAGGAGTGTCAGAAGGAAGATTGGAAGGACGGGAAACATAAGAATATGTGTCCGCTAATGGGGAAAAGTAGTTTCTGACATTCGACTACTTGCTTGAATGCCGTGAAAGAATCGATGAGACAGAAAATTACGAAATGATAAATTTCTGAATATAACACATACAAGCGCCTGGATGGGAACTTACTATATCATGGTTGTTCTACATAATCGACCCAGCCTCGCGACATAAAAAAAGAGCTCTAAGTTTCCCGCTGGCATTTATCCGAGAGCGTCGCGTTATATCGACACCCTAATATCCACTTTTGGTATAGTGTACATGAAAGGATGATGTATTAGCATGAATTCTATCTAATGAGGTATGATGGTCTCAATCAGAGCGTCTCACCTGTGCACCAATATGTGTGGTTAACACGAGAATGGGCTCGGATGATTGAGGTTGATTGTGAGGGGGCTATACTAAGGGGAAGTTGGGGTATTTGCTTGAAAGCTCGGACGAAGAGAAATAACTTGAAATATATTGTTTTGTTCAATATCCATCGTTTTCGCTTGTTTGCTCGAGTATTGATATTGTCAGATTATCATATAGACCGGGTTAGTTGTCAAACAACTTTATTACTCGATTCCAATGGAACATTTGGCTTACGCTGAAAGCAAAGACGAATATACTCAAACATAACGAGTTCAATGAAAACTGTAATTCTGTGATACACACTGGGTATGTGCAAAATGGACTTAGCTACGGATTCTTAGGACATCTGGCACTAGTCGTTGAATGTAACAATTAGACTGTCGTACTGGGCAACGATGCTATAATGAATATGTCCTCGTCTTGGTTGGAGAATTGAACGATTCGTTATCCTTTCATTGTTTTCAGTATCAGCAACACGTCCGTGCTTGTGATAGAACTATGTACAGTAGCAGTGTGCAGGAAGCAATTGGTCTATTACGAAGAAGTTACAAAACTTTCCTTTGAGAACGGTGCACGCTGGATATCAGGTCCCTCGAATACTCTGAGGGTGGATGAGATTTCTCTGGCCACATCTTGATCACCTGAACTCGAGCACTGATCACTCGTATAGACCAAGTTGAATACATGTGATAGTCTGCAGTAGCCGATTGGTCTATTGCAATTCGAGGCTGACATGAAGCAAGATTTGTCCAGAAAGTGAAAACTACAATAAAATAAAGTAATTTTTTTTTTTTTTTTAACTTGGGGCCAGTGGGAGGACATTCTGAAGTTTAATAGAATACATGGGCCCGAGCATCCAGAGTGTGTATTTGTATATGTCAACGGAAAACGAATCATATTCCCATCTGCTTTAGGCTTTTTCGTCCTCCCAGGTCTCATAATTCAACTGGCTAGGGCACCGGCAAAAATGATGCACTATTTTGTAGATCAGAACTAGTAGGCTGCGAGCTATAATGCTAGCAGCACATCGGCAGAGCCGAAAATCTACAAAAATGATCCGCACTAGTGGTACTAATCTGCAAACAGTGGGGTTTATGCATTATTCCAGAATAGGAAATCATTAGCTTCACCAGTCAAGTCTAATTAGAGTGTGACACTTCCGAGAGTCGACCGAGCAACTGTGGCTTGCCTGAAGACGAGCTGAAGAACTCCTTGGCATGAATACTGGCCGCTCCGCACTTGCGCTGTCAGCTCGCTCTACGTCCACCACAGATCAAGTCCAGTCCTGTCGGCTGGGATAGCGTGGGAAAAAATGCCCCAGCGGTCTCAAACCTGCTCAACGAAGTGATGAAAGAACAAGGGCAACACAGGGATCAATACAGGATGCCCAGACGGTGAAAATCAGTTGCACCGCAGCCTGCCAGACAACATGCCAACATGTCGGTGGCGGAGAAATGCCCCATTCTGTAAAGGCAAGTGTCATGGTGGCAAGGTTGAAGTGTCCAGCAGTATGAGATACGGGTGCTTCCTGTTGGGCAGGTCATGAAGTTCTGTGCTGTGAGCAGACAGCTGCCAACAAAGCAGTTTCTGAATGCAAATGGACTGGAAGTGTGCCAGGTTGGATTCCCCTGGTTCTGGAGAGCCAAATGTATCTGATCAGCAATTGCACATAGACACTGCACTGACTTCCCTTGAAGTTGCGGCGCAGTGTGGCTGTGAAGAGTTATTTGACATTCTGCACACTGCAGGTGCTGAAGATTTTTCATAGCGAGCGTCCACAGAGATGTCACGGGCTCGGAATAGTAGATAATAATGAATCATTCATTGCTGCAGTGTTGAGCCGTCATATATGAGTCGTCACAAGAGATCCAAGAAGAGGACAGCCTACTCGAAATTCCCAGTGGAGCCCCATTGTCTGCATTGTCAGTCTCATTGCCTCTGGCCACTGGTCAATGTTGAACAAGCTCTTCAACACCTACAATCACTGCCCAAATTATCATCCCTTGGTGGCGCCCACAGTGGCCCTTCCACTGCTTTCTTTTGCCATTGCCCGATGTGACCTGGCCAAGCCAGGTGTTTGAGAATGCATCAGTGATCTATTTGCACATCCACTCCTTTCACCCCACTTGCGCACACCTGTGTTTGGTATACATCCACCGCACTTTGCCACAGCAAGGCACGACCCTTATTTCCTGGCTTGGATTGCAGCCTCCATCACAGATGGCCATGCCACGGCTGGGCAGACATCTTTGGGCCATGCATTGCTCCATGTGGCGGCAATTCCTCTGACCGGCAACCATGCGGCAATGAGCAGACTGGCAGTTGAGCGCAGCATCCATTGCGCCCGTACACTAGATTCCAAATAGCGGCAGCACTTCAAGCCCGGTCCGTGGCACTTAAAATACTCCAGGGGCTCAAAGTTATGGTTCAGTAGTTGGTTGGTTGGTTATATCATTTACCCTGACTCCTCGCTCGAAAGCGATATGCAGGCTACCTCAACTATATATATCCGCGCGTACGTACATGTAGTGTGTTCCGCTTCCTGAAAACGAACTTAGAGCCTCGTCAAGGCCTGCCGTGGCCTAACTGCCGTTCCCATTGTTAGGCTGCCCTCGTGGCGCGCGACTCCAGAACCGCTGTGATGCCTCGGCGAAGTCCAAAACGGCCTTGACCGTCTTTGCCCTTGAGACGGTGTCTGGTTTACCTTTCTTACCTACGGTCGAGCCTCCCAGCAGACTCGAGACGCTACTGAACGCGTCCCCTACTTCCCTCCATAGCTCTCTTCGAATGTCCCTCAGATCTGGACAATCCACCAGCACATGGGTGACAGTTTCTTGTGCACTGCACACGCACAGGTCATCATCGCGGAAGCAAAAGGCTTTAGCGTAGGTAGATAACCAACTGTGGCCTGTGTGTAGCTGTGTTAATAGGTACACTCAGTTCCTGGGCAGGCTTCCATATAGCCTCCTCGTGTAAGTTGCTGGTAGGGTGCTGTCGATCTTTCGTAGGTGACCACCTTTGTTGGATGACCTCCATTCCTGCTCCCACTGATTAAGGATATTGCTGTGGAGGCGCGCGCTCTCCCTCGAGAGTAGTGGGCAGAAGGGGTGTGTTTTGCCTGGGCGTGCAGCATCCTTGGCCAGTTGATCTGCAGCATCATTTCCAGGGTTATCACAGTGCCCTGGCACCCATTGAAGGCGCAGCGCGATTCCTTTTGTTTGGACCTCTGTGGCAGCCTGGAGGATCGCATGGATGATCCGCTGTCCAGATTTGTTCGTCGGATTTTGAGTTGCCTGCAAGGCTGATTGGCTGTCGCACAGTATTGTCGCTGTTTTCCGTCTCCTTTCTAAGCTTTCTGAGGGCTGATGGGCAACTTTAAACACTGTGCTGATAGTGTAGAAGATACCAATAAGCTCTGCTACATGAACCGACCAGCGGTCCATTGGTCCTACTTGAATCTGTTGGGATTCGACAGTCTCCAAGTTGCTGTTGAGTGCCACAACAGCAGCGCCTAGGTGACCCTCGCGTCCAGAGGCATCTGAGTAGACAACAATATCTGATGTGGACTGTGTAGTTTCAGCTTGCTCCACGGCTGTTTCTTGGTCTGATCCAACCTCAATCTCCGCGAAGTGTTCAGCTCGCCACGGTGGCAGTGGACTTGGGTTGATTGTTTCTAGTTCATCCAATCTTTGTAAGTCCATAGTCTTTAGAGCTTCCGCTAGTGGGAACCAAGTGTAGCTTCCAATGTTGTTCCTTCATCTCTGAGCTCGGAGGAGCGCACCCCAAATAGGGTGAATACAAGGTAGAGTGTGGAGTCTCGCGATGGTATATTGTGCTCGGCAGCGGAGGCGGAGGTGTGTTGGAAGGACATGTGCTTCCACTTCTAGAGTGGTGGATGCTACTGTCCTGAACACCAACAGGATACAAACCAGAGGGGCCCTTTGCACTGTGTTTAGGTGGCGCAGGTGGGTTTTATCATGTAGAGGGTCATGCCAGACCATTGATGCATAGTCTATTTTGGTGTGTGTTGTTAGTTGGATGAATTGGGTGCCTATCGGCTAAGGCTAGCTATATGTCTACCGGGCAGAAAGCGAGGGCGGTCAAGCACGT